TTACTTTTATATAGGAATTAGATACAGTGCTTCTGTCAGCTAACTGCTATGTTGTCTGCCAAAAAAAGCAGAGTTTTCCAGTGCTTTAGTAGCTCCTGGATAGAGATAGTGTGTATAGAAGGGAGGGCAGGTGGGTTTAATTCTCCTCTCCCCATTTGGTGCTTGATTTGTGCTGAGTCTGCTCAGTAACACTGCTGAAGTGGCTGTCCTCAGTCTGCCTCCCATCTTCTCACTCTCTCCTCCCCCCCACATCACAGCATGAACAGATTGGCCCCCCCTACCAAAATCTGAAATGGTGCCCCTGAATAACTGTCTGTCTCATGGTATCTCCAGCGAAACTGAAGAAGAAATGGGGGGAAAATGTCTGACCTCAGAGCTATGAGTCACAGCAATGGTGGGGTGAAACCCTTCCCCTCCAGCAGCAGGGCTCAGGCTGTTATCCCGCCTTAGCCCTATTTTGTCACCATTATTTTTAATGAAAATCAGGAATAGATCATGGAATTCTATGAATTTTTGTTTGTTGCCTATAACCTGTGCCTAGCTTTTACTAAAAAGAACTGAAAAAATTTTTAATCTTACACATAATATAATAGTCTGGGGTCATATTATTGTTATAGTAGCATAGAGATGCCATGGGAAGTACTGAAGTTTCATTGTGATGGACTAAAACATAGGATGACACAGTGAAGGCCAGATTAAGGGGCAGGTGACCCAGCCGATTATCTGGAGGTGCTATTTTTTGTAGTTAGCGACAAAGGGGTGAATTAGAAAGTTTAAAGTAAATATGTCTGATATTTCATATATACATTCATTTTTCGCTAACCTCCTAGAACACTCTGGATCTTAATAGAATCTTGTGGGTTTCTGAGAATTACATTTTCCTTGAACTTCCTAGAATGTACATATGGGGCCGTGTGTTGCTGGTCCATCAGTGAGATATAAAAATCAACTGAGGTGAAATCCAAGTTGCAATATGGAAAACCTTGTTTCATTGTGTAATTGTGAAAGTGTCCTTGTGTTTTAAGACTTGAAGAGTGAAGCAGAGAATAATAAAAAACATTTAATAAGATGCCAGAGTTAACTATTGAATCCCTACCAATGCATCTATATAAAATAAACACTATTATGTCCTTCATCAGACTTGACACATAACTGGATGAAAGTTGAGTCTAGACTCAAGCTGATTAAAATGTATAAACACATCACATATCTGTGATGATTGGCATTGCTTGCTATTTTGTTGCTTAAAAATGTGGAAGGGAAACCTCTGAGATGCATAGTCAGCACAGAAGTTCGTTCATCACCTTTCTTTTTCTGCTGACATAAATAAGTATGGATGGAACAAAGGGCTAGGTGTGGCACTACAGTACACCCACTGATCTTCATCCAGTCCTTTCCCATTGCATGTCTTTCCCCTCCATGCATCAGTCCTAGATTATGAGGGAACTACTGTATGCTGTAATAATCAGAGTTTGTAAGATATCCCACCAGTGCTATAAATGTATATACCAATTAGGAAGAATTTTGTACTATCAGGTATTGAACAATATCTTGGATATCACACTTAAAAAATGTGGCTGATATTGCAAGGATTCAAAATTCATTACTAAAGTGATACCAGAGGGGATGCAAGCTTTTCATCAGAGTTCACACTGGTGGGCAAGCCTCTCAAATTTGTAAACTTCACCGTTTGAACTGTCTAGCATTTGTGTCTTAATTCTTGTGAGCCATGTAGCAGTTGATATCTCCATTGTAAATCTGAGTGTAGCAATTAGACTCTCAGTGAAGATCTAGTTTAAGAGATAAAAATAGCACCATTTTATCACTAGAAATACAAACTGTCCAGCCAGCACAATTAGGAAATGTAAATAATATTCAGAATATAATATTACGGTTACTAACATTATTCTGTAAAAAAAGAAAGATTTCTAGTTGTTGATTAGTGGGTTCTAATAATAGTCTGTAATGCATATTATTATATCAAGGAAGAATTTACATTGTAAAAAAACACCCCTTTTTGTCAAATTCTCCTGTTTTTGAATTAACAAATACTTGTGTGAAACAGTTGCAAACATATTTTATATTTTTCCATGGTGAGGATGATTCTATCTTAATAATTTCTAATTTGCTGAACACTGAAGTATCTTGCCACCTAATTTTGCAGGATTATATACTTTATTTTCAAGATGAGCCAGGTGGTTGTGAATGGTCACATAATTCTCATGGCATTGTTCTGGTTCCTTGATAGGCTAGGCTGACCTCATGTGGCTAGGAGGATTGGCAAAGCCCATTTTGGATGTGTTTCTCTGAAAAATATGCTATAAGTATTCTTATTTCATGATCACTTTGCAAAACTGCCATGAATGCAGATA